CTACCCCCCCCCAGGGGGCTAGGGGTCGACGTTGTCGCCCCAGGACCGATACCCAGCGGGGAGGTCCTCATGGTCCTTCCCATCAGGGCAAGCCCCAATTTTGACACCCTTTTTGAGAGTCCTGTACCAGTCTCCCGCCCTGGCCCCCCGTTTGGGGCCAGGCTATCCCTTTTTGCCCATGCATGGGCTCTAATCACATCAGATGCCTGGGTTCTGAACATAGTAAATGGAGGCTATACTATCCCATTCCTGGGCCCACCGCCCTCAAAACCGCTTTCTCCGTCCTTAGTAAGGGATACCCCTCACGAACACATCCTGCGCCAGGAGGTTTCTGCGCTCCTCGAAAAAGGGGCAAAAGAGGGGGTTCCTCCGCATCTGCAAGGAAGGGGATTCTACTCCCATTATTTTGTTGTACCCAAACCGAAGGGAGGAGTCCGTCCCATCTTGGACCTCCGAGGTTTAAACAAGGCGGTCATAAAACACAGGTTCAGAATGGTGACCTTGGCCTCGGTCATCCCAGTGCTTCAGTTAGGAGACTGGTACGTGACTCTCGACCTCAAGGATGCGTACTTCCACGTGGCGATCAGGCCCAGCCACAGGAGGTTCCTCAGGTTTATGGTGGGCCAATACTATTTTCAGTTTACGGTGCTCCCCTTTGGTTTATGTACGGCACCAAGGGTGTTCACGAAATGTATGGTGGTGGTTGCCGCCTTTCTCCGCAAACGAGGGGTGCATGTGTTCCCGTACCTCGACGATTGGCTGATCCGAGGTCGCTCGTACGATCAGGTAGAAGCTCATGTGGCACTCACAAGAGCCCTCTTCCTAAAGCTAGGGCTCATGATAAACATCGAAAAGTCATCCCTGACCCCCTCCCAGCACACAGAATTCGTGGGAGCCCTCCTCGACGCAAGGGTGGCAAGAGCGTTCTTGCCCAAGAGCAGGTTCCTCTCCATAGTGGAGCTGATCTCAGGGTCATATGGGCCATATGGCGGCGTGCATGTACACGGTGCGCCATGCCAGACTCAGAATGAGACACCTGCAGGCGTGGTTGGCACAGGCCTTCAGCCAATCCAGGGGTCTTTGGGACTCAATAATCACAGTGCCCCCAGAAATTCTGGACTCCCTCCTATGGTGGACCCAGGAAACTGTGGTACGCAGTGGGGTTCCTTTCAATGCCCCTCCCCCCTCCCTTACGCTGGTCACCGATGCATCCGACCTGGGCTGGGGAGCACACCTAGGGCGGCACAGGACTCAAGGCCTCTGGTCCCCCTCCGAGCAAGCCCTACACATAAACGTCCGGGAATTGCGGGCGGTGAGGAGAGCCTGCGAAGCCTTCCTGCCACGGCTCTCCCACCGTTTGATCCTGGTTCATATGGACAACACAGCAGCGGTCTTTTATCTCAACAAGCAGGGTGGGGTGTGATCGCCTCGCCTCTGCAAAGAGGCCCTGCAACTTTGGCACTTGTGCGTCACGCATGATATCACACCTCAAGCGGAATACCTCCCGGGGTGCAAAAACCTGCTAGCAGACACACTGAGCAGATCCTTTGGAGCCCACGAGTGGACACTCAAGGATTCTGCTCTCCGCCAGGTTTTCCGCAGGTGGGGTTATCCCCGCCTAGACCTGTTCGCCTCGGCATGCAATGCCAAGTGCAGGAACTACTGTTCCCTGCTGGGGCTGGGGAAATATTCCCTGGGGGATGCCCTGACGGCTGTGTGGCCAGAGGGCTTTCTCTATGCTTTCCCCCCATTCCTCCTAATTTCCAGGGTGTTGACCAGAGCGAGGACATTTCGGTCCACAATCATTCTCATAGCCCCCAGGTGGCCCAGGCAATTCTGGTTCCCTATCCTAGTGGACATGCTTACCCAAGACCCAATAGCACTCCCTCCAGTCAGGGACCTGCTAACTCAGCCGTGGGGCAAGGGGACCACAGTTCACCCGGATCTCAGGTCTCTCCACCTAACGGCGTGGTTTATCCGTGGTTGAACCAACCTGAAAGGGAATGTTCCCAAGAGGTTCAGATGGTTCTCGTCAGTAGCAGGAAACCCTCTACTAGATGGTTGTACACTGCCAAGTGGCGGTGCTGCTAGTCTTGGGCGTCCCGGAGGGGAGT